CGTACGTTTCCTTTTTCTGTTTTACGCTTGTTTATATTTTGGAAATATTAAATACATATATTACAGAAAATTAGTTTTGTTAGTTTTTTACAATGTTCATCATACGTTAAAACATGCACATGCATTGTAAAACAATGCTCAACTTTTAGAAAATATCTGTACCATCAAAAAAATGTATGCGACTATCAGTAAATGTTCCAAGTTCTAAAAATGTGTTTGACATTTTTTTAAATGTTATACAATGTAAATTAATTTTCGTGTAATTCAATATAAAATCATACCATTCAAAAAAAATCATTACATTCAACGTTTGAATTTTTTTAGCATGCATTCAAGAAATACTTAACAACATTAATCATGTGTTTAAAAAATATTAAACATGTACATAAGATGTTTTAGATGTATATAAAAAACATACAATGTGTATGAAAAAAGTAGATATCAAAACATATATTTAAAAAACTATTAATCATGTCCTTAAAAAAATGGTAAACATGTACAAAAAATGTTTGTGATGTATATGAAAAATGTATAATGTGTATGAAAGACATGTGTTAAAAAATTTAAACAAGAAAAATAAGAAGATGAAAAATACCAAAAAACACAGACAAAAAACAAATAAATCCGATGCAAAATAGTGAAACCCCAATAAAGAAAACCACAAACATAAAACTCACGCGACAGCTACCGTCCGGTTCCAGCCCAGTAAGTCCGCGCCAGAAGCGAGACCTCGCAGCGGGCGAGAAATAACTCTGGCGCTTCAGGTCGAAAAGATACACGTTCTGCGGGCCCAACCAACCGACGGCAGGTGTAAGACCCGAAACCCCCCGTCGGGACCTCCTACATTTTTCTTTCCAAATAATAACGTTCACACGCGTGGCATATTTGCACATTGCTCACACGCCTTAATCCATGTTGCTTCCGTTTTTGCACGAATCCTAAATAAATCTGTTAAAATATGAGTGCCACGTGGCATCATCGTGTGCGTGGGAGTTGGAAAATTTGCCCACACGTCCCGCAGCATGCGGTTTGCCAGCTGCGCTGACCTAGTCCATGTGCGCGTGGGCGAACTGCTTTTCGTTCACACAATACTCATATGTTGTTGGATGGCAACTGCAGTTGCACGTAGGTGGCAACTAGGTAAACACACATGGTAACTATGATTCGTTGCTAGACGGCAACTGTAGTTGCGTGTACATGGCAACCAGATAAACACACATGACAACTGTGATTAACCATACATAACAACTATGATTGGACCACACGTGACAACTAGATAAACACACGTGGCAACTATTGTTTAACCATATGTGGCAAGTAGTTAATCGGACACGGTAACTATGGTTTGATTACACGCGGTAATTAACATAAATTCGATATAGCAACTATAGTTAACCAAAACAGAAAGAGTTGTCATGCTTTTACAACTACATTTGTCATCCCTGACAACTACATTTGTCATCCCGGATGGCAACTAAATCGTCATCCTGCGAGTACCTAAAGTAGCTGCCCAGGACGTGGAGGCACATTTACTTCATGCCACACATGTGGGGTGGGGATGAATAGTATTTGTTGGGTATATGGCACGAAGTAGCTTCGTTTAAACGTGTGAACAATTCTAATATTCGCCAACACATAACTCGTGTGGGTTGCCTCCTACTCACACCACACACGGTATGTGAGCGAATGTTTTTTTTTGTGGCGATAGACGCGGCGGAAACCAGTGAAGTGGGCACCCCCTCCCCATGTGCGAGGCAGCGCATGTGCTGGGCGGGAAGCTACCTTGTTTTTCTATTTTCCTATTTTTTTCTGTTTTAACTTTTTTCCTTTATAAAATAATTCAGGATTTAAAAAAGTTATGATTTTGGAAAAGATGTTCATGGATTCAAAAAATGTCCATGACTTAAAAAATATTCCGGAAATGATAAATGCTCACAGATTCAAAAAAAACATGAGTTTCTAGAAAATGTTGACAATATTCAAAAATTGTTCGAAAATTTCAGAAAAAATTCTTCACAAACTTATAAAAATGTTTCCAATTCTCTAAATATTCATGAACAGAAACAATATTAGTAAAAAATGATTCTGAATTTCAAAAATTGATCCTAAACATATATGGAATTTCAAAAAATGATCCTAAACATATATGGAATTTCAAAAATTGTTCGTGAATTTGAAAATGTTGAAGATTTTTAAAAAAATTCACAGTTCATACAATGTTCATGAATTTAAAAATACTCATGATTTCAATACAATGTTCATGATTGCAAAATATGTTCACAAGTTTGAAAGATGTTCGCAAAAAATTGAAAAAGAAAAAGTAAAAGAAAAATAAAAGAATAAAAAGGAAAATAAAAAGGAAAGGAAAAAACAAAAAAAGGGAAAAAGAAAGAAAAAGATGAAAGGAAGACAAAAACCCGGTCCAGGGTTGGTTCTAGAACCTTCCAACTACCGGTCAAGATAAAATTCAGAAATGGGCTGGCCCACACGAATAGCGGGTGAGGGGTTACGCGCTAGGTCACTAGAACCGGCGGAATAGAAGTGGACGGGTCGGGTCGTAAGGATATCTTCATCGACGACCTAACCAGACACCGCATTTGTGATTTGTCCCCTATAAAAAAATTGCGGAGAAGGGGGATCAGTCCACGTTCCTCATCTCTGGCCCGTCATGAGCCCCGAAAAATGAAGCTTCGCCTCCTTTGCAGTCATGAGCGTCAAGAAGTCAAGTTATCCGCCTCCGTGTCACCGACCAGCGGCTAATCGGCCGACGATGTTGAGGCCGCCAAGCTTAGCTTCAACAGGAAGGGAGGAACGGTGGCCTTCATGTGATACAAGCTTCGGAGACCTCTTGTGCGTTACTCTTCCTTATTGCCGACGACGCTCGTGGATGTGCCGACTTCTTGGTCGTGGCGGCGGGACGCGGCCGAGCTGGCGACCTAGTCTTCGTCCTCACTCTTGCCAAACACTTTTATCTACTGCCTCGTCCATCTCCTTGTAGGCGGCCTCTAAATCCGCCTGGTATTGGTGGTAGCGCCAGCGCTCACGGCGGATGTCGTAGGCAAAGTGATAGGACTCGAGCAGAGCCTCCTGCTCGGGCACGTCCACGTCCAGCGCAATAGGCGTGCCGACAGTGAGTAGATCCTCCGTCCGTCGCTGCTCGTCGAGGAGGCAGAGGTTGTAGGCATGGTCGGCCTGCGCTTGCCACAATGTGACCTTCCGGTCCTCCAGCACGATGTCCATGTAGTGAGCACGGGCCTTGCCCATGGTGATGCCGACATTGGCCGGCGCAGACAGTGGCACCGGCTCGTCGTCAACCGCCTCTGCCATTGGCACGTCCGCAACGCCGGCCACTGGTGAGCTCGTCCGTCTAGCGCCCTGCCAACCAGCAGTAATGGCGACGATCTCCTTCTTCTGTTCGAACGAGAGGCCGTCCCATAGGGCTTTGGAGCTCGAGGAGGTCATGGCGGGTATGGTAAGGTGAGGGATAAAGAGCGGAGGAGGGTGGATGGATGCGGTTGTGTTTGCCGACCTGTGGGGGTTAAATAGCGGGCATAGGGCATGCCAGATGGCGAGGTCCTTAATGGTGGGCGGCAGACGGACGGACGAGTGGCACCGGAGTAGGTTTCTCGGCAACCACGCACGCTTAATGGAGGGAGGTGGACGAACTGGTGCTGTTTGAATGCAAAGAGACGGGGTGTGCATCAGGACGCAACAACACTCTTAGTCGGCGCGACACTTCAATGCCGGCTCTAGTGATAGGTCACCTCCGCTCTGGGCCGACATGGATGCGATGCTGACCAAAGTCGGGCGGAACGTAGCCGGGGGGAGAGAGAGGGTTTTTTGGTGCGCCAGGTTAGTTAGACGCGCGCGTGGCAGTTGTCCGGAAGCCCGCAAAGCCCCCTAGTTTGTCTCCGGTTTGCGAGAAAAGGTTTATCTGGACCTTCGAGCGGACCGATGCAGGACCGCATAGCAAAACACGTCTAAACCGCGCGGTGAGATGGTTGCGGGCGTTTCGAGGGTCGGCGTTCGAGATGCCCTAAGTAGTTATACGAAAGTAAAATGAAATTACGGGGAATATAATAGTGTTCCCCTTTGTGAAATTTCTTTCCCTTCGCCCGCCGCTCCCCCTCCTCCCCTTTCCCCGCCGGCGCGCCGTGTTTCCGCCCCCAAACCCCCTCAAAACCCTGCGAAAACCTCCTCCGTCCCCTTCCCCTTCCATGCTCCGCACCACCGCCGCGATGCTCCCGTCCCCCTCCTCCCTCCGCGCGTTCCTGCGCCTCTCCAGCCGCGGCCCCCTCC